TTTTTTTTCTGTAAAAACAGTTCATATGGAAATTTTATTTTCACCAGATTGGAAACTAAAAGATTATTTATTCATATCTGAAAATAGATAGATGTCCAAACTGAGTGAAGRAACTTCTCCTACTCATCAAGATGAACATTTGTTCTGAAACATTGAACTGCCCAATTTTGAATGAACATAGTAGATGCAAAAAATTCTTTAAAAATTATCCCAATCTCTGTATTGCAATGCACATTGCATACAAAACCATTAGAGCAACTTGCATTCCTGCTGATATTTTACAAAGTTATATGGTGGCCAATAATTTTGGTGTTCTCAGGGTTCTCAATTTTATTTCTAGGAGCAATGTAGACTCTACTGAAATCTCAGTTACATACTGCTTTTCCTTCTGCAGCTGTGCATTGCCAGCTCCTTCTCAGGGCTCTRCTTCTATATGCCAATAACTTTCAGTGTTAGAATAACTGCTTCTACAAAAGCTGAGAACAATGTAATTTCCATTTCAATCCCTATGACACAGCTCTGAGAAGTATTCTGTAACCTTTCTGCATCAGAAGACAAAGTAGAACATTCACTGGTGTATCTTCAGGATTCAAACCAAACCAAATGGCACAGTACAGACAGCACCCACTTTAATCTTTGGTTCTGTACTCAGATTGTTGAAATAGGTTTTGAGTTCTTTGGTTTGGGTTCTCCTCCAGCAAGAAGCAAACTAAATGATGTTCTCCTAAAACTCCATGAGATTTTAAAAATCTGAAGAGGCTACAGTTTTTATAGGACCTATCACCCTAAGCTACATGGTGACAAATAWTGTTGCTTTTCTTCTGGTAAAATGCTGCAACCATGAGAAGAACTTATCTCCAAAGGAAGATTTGTATTGACAATACTCCCCCTTCAATCTGATAGCAGATGAATACCCACCCATCTCCTAAACCAAAGGGCAAGTGCACAGTAAAGTCTCTGCTCATCTCCYATGCCAGAGGGCTGGAGGGGCTTTTCTGCCTCATTGTTTTCCTCAATATTATGATGGGAACAAAAACAAAGTTCTTGATTGAATTACTRAATTCAGCATCACATCTTTGAATAGCTTTTATGTCATCCTGCGTTCGGGTTGTTTTTTGATTCTTCAGTTGGGCCATATAAACACTTTTCATTAAATTACCTTGAAGTTATGAACTAGAGATTMTGATTTTCCCACTATATCAAGAATAAGCAACACCTGAATTATAGAACCCAGAGCTGGGAGATCCAACAGCCCTCTGACCAAATACATCCTTTTTGCTTTGTGCTAAGATTTATTTTCATGTCTGCTCCAATCTAAATACTTCCTGTAATAAGGCARATGTAGAAGTCATTGCTTCCCTGGAGATCAATAAAGTTCATATTTATTTGAAATGCATCTTTTTTTTTTCTGCCAACAACAGCATAACTTAACTGTGAGTGGTTTATTTTTAAAAACTGCAGGTTGTAATGCATTCAAGAGATGKCATCTTCCAATCGTTATGGTGATCATGGTAACCACTCTCATTTTCAGCTTCTTAGAGGAACGCCTGGCTCCCTCAAGCAAGTACCCTTGGGAGAAAATGAGACAGCGCTTGCAGAAAATCATATGCACAGCACAGAGAGAAAGCCATGCTGTTGTTAGGCAGCATATGCTGCACAAAAATAATCTGTACTAAGTAAAACCTTACAAAGCTGTTTAATGAAAGATGTAAAAGAGAAATGGATGCCTTTTCTACAGCAATCAGAAAAAAAGAATCAAGCCCTTTCTTTCTAAAAAACAGCCTCAAAATAACATATTCATCTTAAATACAGCTATATACCTGCAACACTTGTTTTCTTTTATCAGGTGTCTTCATTTCAGCTTTATTAATCAATACGTATTTTAAATGAAAATACACGCTGTATTTAAAACAAATTCTTACATTAACATGTTAAGTTTTTATTAAATAAAATTCTTACCTTAATAATTTTATTCCAGAGGGGTTGCATAACATACACAGATAAAGGATTTGTATCCACAGCACTGTACTGTGWGGAAAAAGCAAACATGTTACACAAAGCAGTGAACAATACCTATTTTTCCAGCACTACATATCRTCTGGCATCTCAGAGCAATCACTCTCAGTGCAACTGGTGTAAACTTATTTTATTCTGATAACTATTCATACAGKTTTAATTTAATTTAAAAGCCCTGGCCTTGTTTACAATTAACTTGTTAGCGACTCTATGTATAAACACAAAGGTTTARGCTTGTGAAATGGCAAACAGCCCTGCATCACATTTTACTTTTAAATTCTTATTAATTTTACAACCCTATAAGATTCTGCATTTCTACCATATTTTGGATTTTACACCTTTATTTGCACTGCCAGTAATGCATAGTCTGAGGAGCAGCTCATTGCTAGTATGTAGGATAGATAGTAAATATGGAATATGTTCGTAGGTGGAATATTCTCCTGCAGAGATACACAGCTTTTGCCATAGTAACACAGTTGCATTTGCACTATGCTAATTCATGTAAGACAGTRTTATCATAAAAATGAGCCCTAAATAGCACAGTTCATTTCCACAATAAAATTTGTTAATTGGACAGACTTGTAAATACATGTGTTTTAAAAATTCCAGTAAGTAAATATCTGTTTCCTTTGCAAACTAAATATTTCAGAAATCCAAGGCCACCCTGAATTGCTGTTGTCTGCTTTTTCCTCAGAGGACAACATCAAGTTTTCTCCTGCCTTGAGACTGCAGAATACAGAATWATCTGAGGAAGAACAATCTTAACAGAAAATCACTCAAAACCATGTCCTTGAGCCCTAGTAAGCAGACATTGAAAGAAGTTATCCATCATTGGGGTGGTACAGAGAATTATTTCAGAAATTATTGGACTTTGAAAGTGCATGTATGGTTTAATGTTGTTAACACAATGCACATGACTCACAAAGATTCAGATACATCTCTATATAGCAATGTCCAAACATCGTGTGCAGACAATRGGAATGACATTGGGATGTGTTAGACCACAGTTTGACAAAGATGTTCACTCTCAGAAGAGCTGATGATAGAGTCTTTTCTTCCACATAGCTCCAGCTAATGACTAATTGCCTCTCCATATATATAGTTAATTTATTGACCTCTCTTTAGCCAWCTTCTTTTTGGAGGAGACTCCACTCTGGAAGCACCTGATCCAAGTCATTAAYTATCAAAGCGACCTAGACTTGCCTTAAACTCAGGTACCTACATGTGAAATGCTTAAGAACTTCTCCATACATTCCCTTTTTCTATCTGAATACAAAGGATAGGTTTTAATTTAACTTTCTGGACAAAGCAAAGCATTCACATAGTTATTTTGTAATTTATGTTCAAGTTTAAATCACAGATCATAAACATAGGATCTCATAAAATTATTATAACACAGCTATACATTATAAACACATACTGGGAAATACAAAAAAAAAAAAAAAAAAAATCTAGCATCAGCTGGTCAGACCAGGCTGCCTAACTATCCAAAGGAAATAAAATGTACCGTTTAATGAAGTGTACAACACTGATTTTTATTTTTCTAAAAATGCTGAAAGTGTTCACTTTAGTGCGTCACTGCCACTCATATTATTTAAAACAATGCAATTTTATCATCAATGTATTTTCCACCAGAATATATATCAGAATTCTTAAACACATTACCTCAGAAAAAAAAAATTGCAGGTAAAACTAAAGTTTTCACTACTCTGTATGTATTTGCAGGTCCAGATGTTGTATTTATCTTTCAGACACTGATTATGACAACTGTTTGATTTTTKATAGTCCAGCTTGTATGTGAATTACTGAAGCCTGGAAGCTTTGCCCACATTTATGTCAAAATTAACAATAATACCAAGCCATGCACTACCTGTGCCAATAGACCTGCCAGCTAGTACTTGATTCACATGACAACTATGGGAATCCTCTGAAAATGAAGAAAATTCCAAGTATCCATTAGCACTTTTGATATTCCATGTGATCAGTAATCTGCCCAAAGTTTCATGGTAGCTGCTGCCCATTTCCTGACCCCAGCTGGTATTCAAAGACTGTGTGAGATACAGGGCAATTTGCTGACCAGCAAATTCAATGAATCCAGCAATACCTGGGTAAGAATGTGCAAAGGTCAAAATAAGTGAGTTTTACCCTTGCTTCTAATTTGGCATTCTCTTATTCCCACACCCCCAAGTCAAAATCATGAATGAAATCAGAAATTGCTAGTTAAACAAAAACAGTAAAATGAGACTTTCTACCCACARTATTTACTGGCTGTTCAGAGCTATTGCTTTCTCTTAGAAGAAAAAGTCTCATTTCTTTAAAATTGTTTTCTTAAGGAGAAAATATAAGAGACTGCATAGTTATTACATAATTTTTATATTTTKTTAAATGGAAAATGCAAGAGATTTTGTAGATTTCCAACATAGSTCTACATAACAGACACAAACATTAGACACAGCCAGCTTTTTGTTTGCCTGACAGTTWCCAAAGTCAAGTATCAAAAAATCAAACCAGACCTTATTGGAAAAAGGAAAAAAAAGTAGAATGACACCCAGCTTTTGTCACCTAAAGCCATTTCAAGACCCACCACACTTCATCATGTTGATTCCCATGTCTGTGGCTGAATTGTAGTCCTCTGGGTGGGGAAGGAACATTGAGCAGATGTGCAGAAGAATGGAAATTTGCTCTTCTCTTAACAAGAATTTGTTTTAGCCAGACCAAAGGAAACACCCATGGAAAAACAGTTTTCAGTCATGGCAAAAAATAAGACTTGACAAATAAAATCTGCTATACAGTTTAATACTCTGCTTTGTTCTGCTCCCAAGAAGCTACTAACCTCAAGGCCATGAAATCCTCAGGAGCTTAATGTTCATGGCTGCTCAGAAAAGGAAAGTACTGAGTAACATCCTCACATTACGATCAAAGAACCTGAATGTAAGAGTGCACTGAACCTGATGTAAAAAAAAGCACTGCCATTTGCTATTGTGTAATTCTGTCATTTTCAGGGCACTTATACTGAAAGACCGAAGTGGAGGAGAATAAGCCTGTTGGAGGTTTTTAAGTGCAAGATTCATATAAGTACTAAGCACTTCCCTGCAAACACATTCTGACCTGGAAAAGGGATTGATTGTCCTTATATGAAGAAGAAGGGCTTGCAATAATCAGAAAGCTTCTCTCAATTATTTTTAAAAGAAGAYGTAACAGCTGGAAGGGAATGGTAGTAGTGAGTGAATAGGAAAAATGGCATTGACTCCATCTTAYGCCCAAGTTTAAAAATGCTTCTTCTGGTTTTATTTAATAGCTGATGTCTCCCTGAAAGCCATCTGCTTTCTCTCTCAGTGTTAATGGCTTCTAGCAGAGCTAGAAATGAGAATACAGGCACCAGACAYGTGCACATATACATGGTGACTCCGGCAGCACACGTGAGATGTGCTTTTTCTTTGTTCTCCTGCATCTTAATTTCCATCCAGGGCATGGAAATTGCACCATCAAGAYTGTGCTGGTCAACTCTGTTAAAGGGGAAAAGAAACAAGATTAAGGAGGAGGTGGGAGGAAAGGGATAAATAGTTAAGAAAAGTAACTAAGAAAAACAAAAGAAAAATGAGCAAAAGCAAAGRTTTGGCYACACAGAAGAAAGACAACTGTTCTKCAGTGACAGAGCAGAGCCAAACACTGAGGGGCAAAAGCACACACAGTGATCAAGGTCAGCTCTGCTAAACACAAGACAAATGGTACCTTCTGGCTCACATCCACACAGCTTAGAAATACTTCCCTTTATTGCAAACTGGTCACATCCACACCGCACAGCATCTGCTGGAGGGGTGTTGGGCCTCATCATCTGGCCCTGCACAMCCAAMAYATTATTAGCATTCAGTATGTTTAARTTCAAAGTATCTGAAACAATCTGGAAACTACACTGTAACCCAGCAACATGGCACTTTCAGAGCATGAAAGTGAGCCCTGTCTGCTGTGCATATTCAAAAATCCAAATGCCCAAGTCAGAAGAGTGCTGAAGGATGGCAAAAGCCAAAAGCCAAAAAGCCATGATGTGCATGCCTTCAGAACGGACTGTTTCCAAACAAAACCCTAGCTATTGCCTTGGAAAGACTTTAGAGAAAACAGACAAACAAACAAAACCCAAACAGGGAGTGAGCTAACCATTAAGGAGAGCAGACAGCTGGATCTTCACTGGACTCCCYATCCCTCTCCAGCTTTGCATTGTGGAGGCATCACAAGAGTAAAATTTTGGAATTATTACGATTAAGAGAAAAACATAAAGCATGTCTACACAAACTTCAGAGTCAGGACAGAAAGCAAGCTGCAAGRAATGCAGTTGCATAATTACATTATATAGTTATTTCAACTGCAGCTGCTCCTACACTAACAGACTGTTCCTCTCCTGTCCTGTTAGTCACCTTGTCMCAGGTAACACTGCATTGTGCCATACAGTCATTTACACTCACAACACCTGTGCTTTGTAAATGACAGGCGAGGAGATAGTAGGCGTGACAGTGGACTCTTTTGCACAAGATGGGGGCATTTTGTGGTTTTGAAAACTGCAAAATGACCCTCCCAATCCAGGGCATGAACTAGCTGCTGTTTAAGAGAGCTCAGTGGGAAATCACCCTTCTGGGCAACATTTTATGCAACATGAACGTGGCCTTTGTGATACCTTACACTTCAAGAACCCCACAAAAATTAAAGAAAATACTGAAATACTGGCACATCTGGTAACAATTTTCCATCAATCCTTYCAATTCCTAGAATACATTAAACATGTGGAGTTTAATTCTACRTTTTATATGTTTTTACAGGTTTGTAGTTATTTTGGGACACCGTCTTGGATTTTAACAAAAGCTTCGCAAAGGAAAGAAAGAGAAGCATGCCATAAACAACAGAGCTACACAACACTCTGGATGTCAAATACGTTCAGCAGTTTAAGTGCTGATGTATTCCAAAACAGTCCTTTTATYTCTAATAATAGAATTGCTTTACATTATATCATCCTTTAGTTA